CAAGAAACATTTCTGATTATTATCAATGTTGAAAACAGTTTTTTGCTGTTTGAATGGTGAATATAACTTTATTTGTAGTAGAAATCTTTTGTAACATTTTAAATGTCTTTCACTTTTGATCAAATGTGACTTTTGATAAATTTAGTGCATCCTTGCTGAAAAGTTTTAATTTCTTTTAAAAAATCCAGCTTTGATCACAGGAGTAAATTACATTTTACAAAATATTCAGCTATTTGAAATTGTAATAATATCTCACAATATTATTGATTTTACTGTGTTTTAGATCAAATGAATGCTGCCTTGGTCCGCAGAAGAGACTTGTGCTATGAAAAATCAAGAATATGAAAAATCCTAATGATTCCAAATGTTTGAACTGTAGCGTACATATCTTTATATTTAATCAGTTCTCAAGGCAGTCAGATCATATGACCGTTCAGTGCTGTGTTCTCCAGATGTGAATGAGTGTGTGAGCAGCCCATGTGTTAATGGAGTCTGTAAGAACAATGCAGGCTCTTTCTCCTGTGAGTGCCCACTAGGAAGTGAACTGGACTCCACTGGACTTTTATGTATTGGTAAATTATGTTTATTTTAACTTCATGATTCACACTTATGCTGGAAAATATTTTTAAAACAAGCTCATGGAGTTTTTTTTTCCCGACAGACAGTCTGAAGGGCTCGTGCTGGGTAACCCTTCAGGATGGCCGCTGTGAAGTGAACATTAACGGAGCTACACTGAGGTCTCAGTGCTGTGCGACGCTGGGAGCGGCCTGGGGAAGCCCATGTGAACCATGTCAAAGCGGTATAAAAACTGCACTCTCAAGCGCTCACATCTGGTCATTTTTAGCCAGCTGCAAACTTCAGGCGCTCTGCTGAAAATGCCCAGCTATGAGCGCTTGAGAGCACAACGTTTTTGTTTTATTTTCATTATTGTTAATGAAATGTTTCGTTATTGTTATATTTTGGTGGACATGTAGCATAAATCTTTAGGAAACTGCAGGGGAGCATAGGCTCTATTTAAAGACCCCAGTGTAGTTAGGGGAGAGCCAAGGCATTTTTTGTCTCTTTTTTTTTAGGAGGGATGGTCCTGCAGGCAAACTTCCTCTACTTATTAGCATTGTTGAACCAGGACTATAGTAGAGCACCCATCCAAAGGGGAGCAAACATCCCTACTTCAAAACCCAGCAGTTGTAGGGGAGGAAGGGAAATGAAGTAGAGGGAATCTATACTGCCCTACACAATTCTGTTCACTTTGCGTGAACCCTAAGGAGGTAACCATCAGCCCTCACATCCCCCCAGAGAGGGGTATATCTCCTGAAAGCTGCAGACTGAGACCCCAGCTCTGTACCAGACTTAAAGAGGACCAAAGAGATCAGATTGTGAGATCAAAGCAATGAGGAGAAAGATTGTTCCCTTTCTCCTTGGTAAAGACGCCCACTGTGGCAACTGTAGCAACCAAAGAACGACAGGTACACTGACACTGCGCTGCCGCTGGCAGCATTGCTGAGTGGAAATTTTATGGTTTGTAGAGCCACACAGGCCTGTCTTGCTTCGAATATGCCTTGCCGAATAGGGTTAGGGTTAGGGTGAATAACTGGTTAGAGTGAATAACCAGCGCTCTCTTCCATCCTCAATACCACGACTGAGGTGAGAACCTTGAGCAAAGCACCGAACCCCCAACTGCTCCCCGGGCGCCGCAGCAAAAAATGGCTGCCCACGGGTGTGTGTTCACAGTGTGTGTGTGTTCACTAATCACTGCTGTGTGTGTGCACTTGGATGGATGAAATGCAGAGCACAAATTCCAAGCATGGAACACCATACTTGGCCACACGTCACGTCCCTTTCCCTGTTCTTTTCAAGGAGGTGGAAATTTTGTGGTTTGTAGAGCCACACAGGCCTGTTTTGCTTCGAATATGCCCTGCCATGTACCACAAGGTGGAAAGATTCAACAGACACAAAGCTCAAACTGTGAGGTGCAAACACCTGATTTTCATCCCACAAGAAAAAAGTCAAGCCAGAGGGGATCTCCCTCACCATTACTAATCACAGTGAGCGCATTCAGCTTCCTCAAGAGCCAACCGTTGGCAAGGAGGGAGCCTTCAAAGAGGATGCAGTGCCAGGGGAGAGATAGCTTGCAAGCAGCTCTTCAACTGGGGTATCCTCCGCTTACACAGTCTCTCCTCATGCGAATAATTCGACTACATTGGAGAGAATATATGAGCCGAATATAAATTCCTCCATTATCTTGCCTTAGCTCTTTGTGCATCTAAATCCTCAGAATTATAGACACATTTAATCACATTTAGTCACATTAATCGGTCAGATTAGAAGCAGTCACAGAGAGCTTCCCGAATTGACATAAAAGCAACATAGTGGGGCAAACCCAAAAGGGAAAAACTCCCATTAGACTCCTCCCTATGCTCTGCCTAAAATCCCTGCGATCGATCCTGCCCTGCTGCCTCTTGTTAGTTTTGCAGTTCAGTTTCCTGTCTTTGTTAATATATTACCATAGTTTTTTATTTGCCCTCATGTGTCACATCTGTGTCTAGTTCATTACCTCGTTTAGTTCCTAGTGATTCTCTATGTATATATAGCCCTCATTCTTAGTTGTTCTTGGTCAGATCTCATAATTTCAGTGGTTGCTCAGTTTATCGTGTTTTGTTTCCTAGAAGTGACGTAGTGTGTGCCTTATTTTGATTAAAGGAAACTGTATGCAGAAAGAGCCAGTTCTTTTATTTTCACCTTTATTCAGCCCCTGCATGAAACTTTTATTATATTTGAATTGCAGCCTTATTAGTTTATTATACTGTATGCTAAAACATATTTTGATATTTATTTTAAAAATTTGATATCCAATTTATTTGATATTGTGTTTTGGTTATAGACTCAAATAATATTTCAGCGATTATTTATGTACACAGATCCTGTATGTCAACGAGGATTCGCTCGGCCAAGAGGGGCTTCGTGTGAAGGTGACATTTTGTGTCATATTAAAGTGAGAGACACATAAACTGTAGATTATCTGATTTTGACTTAATTTCACCTAGTTAATTAAAATACACTTTCTCCCTCTCTCCCTCTCTCTCTTGCTCTCTCTTTGTGTAGATGTGAATGAGTGTGAGGTGTTCCCCGGTGTGTGTCATAATGGACACTGTGTGAACACTTCACATCTGGTCATTTTTAGCCAGCTGCAAACTTCAGGCGCTCTGCTGAAAATGCCCAGCTATGAGCGCTTGAGAGCACAACGTTTTTGTTTTATTTTCATTATTGTTAATGAAATGTTTCGTTATTGTTATATTTTGGTGGACATGTAGCATAAATCTTTAGGAAACTGCAGGGGAGCATAGGCTCTATTTAAAGACCCCAGTGTAGTTAGGGGAGAGCCAAGGCATTTTTTGTCTCTTTTTTTTTAGGAGGGATGGTCCTGCAGGCAAACTTCCTCTACTTATTAGCATTGTTGAACCAGGACTATAGTAGAGCACCCATCCAAAGGGGAGCAAACATCCCTACTTCAAAACCCAGCAGTTGTTGGGGAGGAAGGGAAATGAAGTAGAGGGAATCTATACTGCCCTACACAATTCTGTTCACTTTGCGTGAACCCTAAGGAGGTAACCATCAGCCCTCACATCCCCCCAGAGAGGGGTATATCTCCTGAAAGCTGCAGACTGAGACCCCAGCTCTGTACCAGACTTAAAGAGGACCAAAGAGATCAGATTGTGAGATCAAAGCAATGAGGAGAAAGATTGTTCCCTTTCTCCTTGGTAAAGACGCCCACTGTGGCAACTGTAGCAACCAAAGAACGACAGGTACACTGACACTGCGCTGCCGCTGGCAGCATTGCTGAGTGGAAATTTTATGGTTTGTAGAGCCACACAGGCCTGTCTTGCTTCGAATATGCCTTGCCGAATAGGGTTAGGGTTAGGGTGAATAACTGGTTAGAGTGAATAACCAGCACTCTCTTCCATCCTCAATACCACGACTGAGGTGAGAACCTTGAGCAAAGCACCGAACCCCCAACTGCTCCCCGGGCGCCGCAGCAAAAAATGGCTGCCCACGGGTGTGTGTTCACAGTGTGTGTGTGTGTGTGTGTGTGTTCGTGTTCACTAATCACTGCTGTGTGTGTGCACTTGGATGGATGAAATGCAGAGCACAAATTCCAAGCATGGAACACCATACTTGGCCACACGTCACGTCCCTTTCCCTGTTCTTTTCAAGGAGGTGGAAATTTTGTGGTTTGTAGAGCCACACAGGCCTGTTTTGCTTCGAATATGCCCTGCCATGTACCACAAGGTGGAAAGATTCAACAGACACAAAGCTCAAACTGTGAGGTGCAAACACCTGATTTTCATCCCACAAGAAAAAAGTCAAGCCAGAGGGGATCTCCCTCACCATTACTAATCACAGTGAGCGCATTCAGCTTCCTCAAGAGCCAACCGTTGGCAAGGAGGGAGCCTTCAAAGAGGATGCAGTGCCAGGGGAGAGATAGCTTGCAAGCAGCTCTTCAACTGGGGTATCCTCCGCTTACACAGTCTCTCCTCATGTGAATAATTCGACTACATTGGAGAGAATATATGAGCCGAATATAAATTCCTCCATTATCTTGCCTTAGCTCTTTGTGCATCTAAATCCTCAGAATTATAGACACATTTAATCACATTTAGTCACATTAATTGGTCAGATTAGAAGCAGTCACAGAGAGCTTCCTGAACTGACATAAAAGCAACATAGTGGGGCAAACCCAAAAGGGAAAAACTCCCATTAGACTCCTCCCTATGCTCTGCCTAAAATCCCTGCGATCGATCCTGCCCTGCTGCCTCTTGTTAGTTTTGCAGTTCAGTTTCCTGTCTTTGTTAATATATTACCATAGTTTTTTATTTGCCCTCATGTGTCACATCTGTGTCTAGTTCATTACCTCGTTTAGTTCCTAGTGATTCTCTATGTATATATAGCCCTCATTCTTAGTTGTTCTTGGTCAGGTCTCATCATTTCAGTGGTTGCTCAGTTTATCGTGTTTTGTTTCCTAGAAGTGACGTAGTGTGTGCCTTATTTTGATTAAAGGAAACTGTATGTAGAAAGAGCCAGTTCTTTTATTTTCACCTTTATTCAGCCCCTGCATGAAACTTTTATTATATTTGAATTGCAGCCTTATTAGTTTATTATACTGTATGCTAAAAAATATTTTGATATTTATTTTAAAAATTTGATATCCAATTTATTTGATATTGTGTTTTGGTTATAGACTCAAATAATAGTTCAGCGATTATTTATGTACACAGATCCTGTATGTCAACGAGGATTCGCTCGGCCAAGAGGGGCTTCGTGTGAAGGTGACATTTTGTGTCATATTAAAGTGAGAGACACATAAACTGTAGATTATCTGATTTTGACTTAATTTCACCTAGTTAATTAAAATACACTTTCTCCCTCTCTCCCTCTCTCTCTTGCTCTCTCTTTGTGTAGATGTGAATGAGTGTGAGGTGTTCCCCGGTGTGTGTCATAATGGACACTGTGTGAACACTAGAGGTTCTTTTAAATGTCAGTGTCCAGAGAGTCTCACACTGGATGTCACTGGACGTGTCTGTGTGGGTGAGTCTCACTGGAGTATCAGCTGTCTTCAGATCTGTCATAGTGCATTCACCCTCACCATAGCCACTATTACTAAATCAGACTTTATTATTGTTAGTAGCACATAATCAGTGCTGGATAGATTACTTACAATGTATAGTATGTTATTTATTACAAATTACCGGTACATGACAAAAACGGTGTATTGTTTTTTTAGGTTACATATTATAGATAATGTATTGTGAGTACTTTTTGAATGCTTTTAGATTACTTTTGACCTTACTTGTTTATCACATACCAATTGATATTTTTTTTTATTAGTTTGTACCATACTGATTTAGAAATCCAAAAAAAGAGAAGAAAATACAGTATGTTGTGCATTAAACATTATACTGTGTAAAGCCTTCCAAAGACATATAATACAAGATTAAATGACTCACTGAGTGATAATTCAAATAATTAAAATGTGTTTGAAATGTGTTAAATATGCAATGTTGAGAAAACAAGCATAAAAATGTATAATTTATGTATGTAAGCTCTGATAAGGGTTCTCCGATAAGGAAAGATAACGATGCATTCTGGCGTAGATGCTACGGCAGGGGTCGGCAACCCGTGGCTCTGGAGCTGCATGCAGCTCTTCAGGCCCCCTGCTGTGGCTCACTGCAGCCTTGACAAAATGACATGGAAATAAAAATAAATAAAATTATATTTATTTTATCTTTGCTACACATTGTTGGCATTTGAGGTAACAGATGTGACACTGAAAATAAAGTTTTAATATTTTATCAATCAAACATATACGACACTTCCTGTCTAATTCCCGTGCGAATAGCTGATATTGTGGTCCAGACCCCTGCTCTCGTAAGCTAACTATGGATACGTTACTGTTCCGAATCTAATTCAAAAAGATCAGAGCCCACCTTTTGCCATGGCCTCTGTGGGATGTCATGCCCTATCATGGGCCCTTTGCAGTTCCTTCTCCTGAATGCATTGCATACTGGGCACTTGGAAATCAGGTCAGTGATTTGCATTGACATGCCAGGCCAGAACATTATGTCTCTTGCGAGTCGTTTGGTTTTTTCAATGCCTTGGTGACTGGTGTGGAGTTTTTGTAACATGAATCTTTGTTTACTTTGTGGAATGAGATGCGGTTACCTTTTAGGAGTATGTCATCTTCGACAGTCAGTTCATCACGATAATCTCAGTAAGGTTTTTGCCTGGTCAGGTAAATCACGTTTGTCTTCAGGCCAGCCATTTAGGACAAAACTTTTAACGATGCGCAAAATGGAGTAATTTCTCGTTTCTGTTTTTATTTCCAACAGACGTGATGGTGCAATGGGCAGTGAAGCAATGGTGCATACTTGTATATCATCATCGGCTGTGTCAGCATCTGTGTGGGACTGATCATTTCTGCTTAAAGCGTCAGCTATGTAGAGCTCTGTTCCTTTTTTATATTTCACTTTCATGTCGAATTTCTGAAGTTTCAGGAGCATTTTTTGGAGTCTGAGAGGAGTGTCAGCTAGGGGTTTTTTCATGATAATTTCTAAAGGCTTATGGTCACATTCTACTGTGAAGCGTCTGCCAAATATGTACTGATAGAACTTTTCACACCCAAATACCGTAGCGGCCAATTCTTTTTCAATTTGTGCCCAACGCTTCTGTGTTTCAGTGAACGCTTTGGAAGCAAATGCTATAGGGCAGTTGTTTTGTAGTAGCACAGCACCTACCCCACTGCTGGATGTATCTACACTGAGCGTCACTGGCATTGCTGGATCATGATATTTGAGAGTAACTGTTTCTGAGACCATCCTTTGTAATTGCTCAAAACTCTTGTCATGGGCTTCTTCCCAACACCATTCAGCTGTCTTTTCCAAGAGGAGTCTTAGAGGGGCTGTGACGTCAGACAGTTGTGGGAGGAATTTTCCTAAGTATGTGACCATGTTAAGGTACTGTTGTAGCTCTGTTTTGTTCTGTGGTCTTTGCATGTTCCTAATGGCGGCCACTTTTTCCGGGTCTGGTTTAAGTCCATTCGTAGTCAGCAAATGACCCATGTAGCTCACTTCTTTAGCTCTGAATGTACATTTGTCTGGATTTAGTTTTATGTTCTTTTCTCTGATGCGCTGCATTACTTTTTCAAGTCTCTCGTTATGTTGCTTCTCATTTCCCCCCCAGATCAGTATGTCATCCACAATCACTTCAACCCCTTCCAAGTCTTCAAATGTTTGTGACATAATCCTTTAAAACATTTCTCCAGCACAGCTGATTCCGAATGGTAGTCTTGGACTGTTGAAGAGGTGCATAACTTGGAACTCTCTGTCCAATTTTATTTGCCAGTAACCAGACTGTGCATCGAGTGTGGTGAATATTTTAGCACCAGTCATTCTTGTCACCACCTCCTCGATTGTTGTCATCGGATAATGCTCTCTTTCAATTGCAGCATTAAAATCTTTTGGGTCCATGCATATCCTGACTTTTTTCT